TTAAGGTAATAATATATGACAACATGATAAATTATATATCATTGGCTGATTTAAGAGATATTATTAAGGGATGGAGCTCTCATTTGGCTAAATTCTTGGATGCGATAAATTATTGTACTCGTTCTGGAAACAAGAAGCCAAAGAAGCTCAATATTACAGTTAGCAGAGACGAGACCGCACCACAACAAACGGAAGGAGCCAGAGGGGATTGTGGTCCTCTCGTATTCTTGGCGTTGGAGCGTTTGATCACAGGAAGTATAAAGTATCTACCTCCCACCGATAGAGATAGAGCTACAGTAGGCTTATGGTTTCGGCATTATATGGCTAGATCGATATATACGAGACGCTTCCTACCTGCATCCGCGTTATAAAAATGTCCATAAACAATTGGTAAGTTTATAGGCTTTTGGTTTGAAAATGTTTGGTTAAGTACCTAGAATTCAACAATTTGTTGTTTGTAGGTTTTAGATGTGTAGAAAGTGTTGTTTGAGCAAATGTTTGGTTTCTACAGGTTAATCTCAGAAGTGAGCTGCGTGAAAATGATGTATGGCTGCAAAAGTTGATTCAATAGTAGATGAGGAAATAAGAATTATTGCTTATTTTTTGATTGTTTAATTAATTTGTAAAAGTTGATATGTTTAATTGATGTGAACATAATTCTTATTTGTGCTTGTTTAATTGATTGAAATGTAATGGTTGATTTTGTTGATTTCAATCTGCATTATGTTGAAGGCAAAAATGACTATCGCAACGCGAAACTAAAATCGCAACGCGAAACTAAATTCGCGTTGCGATTTTCATTTCGCTTTGCGATTCTCTCGTTGCGATTTTCATTTCGCATTGCGATAGTCATTTCTACGTTGCGATATTCATATTCGCATTGCGATTTTCACGTTGCGATTTTCATTTCGCATTGCGATAGACATTAAGATGATTGCGAACGTCATTTCCGTGTTGCGATAGTAAAATGAATGGCTAATAAGTGATAACAACTGAACATATCATAGAAATTTTCAAACTCAAGTTACTAATACATGCCTAACTGAAAATATTAAAAGTTCACACATAAAATCCACATAATACAACGTTTGCATTTAAAAATCACCTAAGTTAACAGTCCCAAAAGGTGAAGCCGGTTGTGATTGGGATTTTAAAGATGATTGCGATTTTGATTGCCTTTTGCTTGACACCATATGAGCTTTGGATTTTGACGAGGATCCATATTTTGGTAGAGGAAAAGATGATTGTGATGGCACTGATGATCCACATGTCAACCTTGTATGACCACTTTCCTTGCACCGACTACAGGTCGATCTCTTCTTCTCTTCACCCTTAGACGGTATACGATCGTGACTTTTTGGTCGGCCAGGTAGCCTTCTGTCCATGGCTGGTGGCAAAACTGTTTGTAAGTCATCTGGTATGTCCCACTCAGAAGGATGTAGAATAGGGTAGATAATCTCGCCATAAGTCTGTCGATATACTTCTGTAGTGTAGCAATCCATAGCGTATGCGCTTGAATCATCTTGGTTTAGATGAAGAGAAACTTTTATAAAATGGCCACACGGATAACCAGATGTTTGCCATTTCATACAACTACACGTCTTTGCATTTAGATCGATAAGCCCATTTAAGTTATCATCCAGTACTTCAAACAAAGTGTTTTAACATGGTTCAACTCTCCATGATGTTGACTTCACAACACGTTTTGTTATCTTTTTTTCTGTCCATGGTGTAACACGATATTCTAATGTTCCTGTAAATTTAAATAAATAATACTTAGTAAAATATATGATAAGTTACGAATTTAAAGAAATAATACATGTATGGTTTCTTTTCTTGTAGTACAACTGTTGAATAGAGGCTCGAAAAAACTCCATTAACATAGTAATGGGTAATTTCCGGGAATGAAGACTTAGCGTGTTGATTGATTTTGCACTATTAGACGTCATGAAACCATATCTTGCTCCAAGTTGATGGACTCTTGACCATCTTTCAAACCTGACATCTTCTAGTGTTTGAGCACACTGAGGCAAAACACGTCTTAAACAGTTTATATGCTTATTGAAGTCCACTTCCCGATAAGCTTTTACAGCCTTCCAGTATGTCCATTTGTGATTTTTTATACCAACAGACCTTGATTTTAGATTTCTATACAAATGAACACCACAAAGTCCATGAAAAGCATCTGGGAAACACATTCTAACAGCGTTGTCAATTGAGTTTGCCCTATCAGATATGATTGTCAGATTGCTAATAGGACCTATGCAATCCCTAAGATGCCCCATAAACCATGTCCATGAATCAGAGGTTTCAGATTTGCCAACCCCGTAAGCTATTGGTAGTATCTCATTGTTAGCATCCATGGCTACTGCTAATAAGTTTACTCCAATGTATCGACCTTTTAAATGTGCTCCGTCAACTATAATAACTGGGCGCATGCAAATAATAAACGAACGAATCTACAAAATCATATATACAAGAAATATAATCATTTAAATGTGAAATGCATGTAACTAACAAAAACGAGTCATCAAAATTTTATTGATTTACTAACCGCAGCACCAATGGCAATAAACAGCAACTCAAAGCGTCCATCTCTATCTGTTTTGATATGAGTTACCGACCCAGGATTTTTCAGCTTTAAATTGTGACAATAAGCCGGCAGTTAGGCAAACGATGCTTCTGGCGACCCCCTCAACAATTCCAAGGCATAACATTTGGCTCTTCAAGCTTGAGAATATGAGATACTAATCTTGAACCGAGCATTCATGTCAGTCATAATTTCATGTCCCCGATATACCCTGCCATTCAAAAATATTAACTCAGCCAGAAAACCACCCAACACCTTTTTGTTTGCCTGTCTATGGTGAGGAAAAACTTGGGTTCTTGAACATGTATGTTTATCAATAAAAGTTCTAACTTGAAACATTTCGCAATCTCGCCACTACAGTTTTTGTCAATCATACACCTTGTTTCGAAACGATCTTTGCTTGATTTGTTAACTTTTAGTTGATAGCCATCTTCCACACATTTCGTATACAAAGCTATCTTCAAGTCTTCCTTTGTATCAAAACAATCATCTTTCTTGATATGAATAATTTTTGTGTAACAATCAACTGCTATCTTTACCAACTCTTCTTCCGGTATCTGAAGTAATTCTGGCATATTCCAGTTATACTCCCTTGGCATTTTCTTCGGGGACTTTTCTTTGGGGATTTCTTCTTCTTCTTTTTCTTCTTCAGTGTTATATGAATTACAGAATGAATGTTCAACATGTTCATTTACAGTCGTAACTTCCTCCTCATTATCATCAACAACATCTTCCTCGGCAACGACTGTTTCATCATCAAAATTCGGGTATTGACCAATATCAAAATCATTACACGCAGGGTCTATTTCTTCTTCTGAAAAATCATCAAAATCCGAGTATTGACCAAGATCAAAGTCCGGGTATTGACTAAGATCAAATTTCGAATACTGACTAGTACTCACAATTTTTTCTGTTGGCTCATCATCGTCTAACTGGTCAATACGAAAACCGGAATTTGGTGCTGAAAGTTGATTGGGATTTGGATTAGGGAAAGGTTGTGGGTTTTGATATTGTGTTTGGTATTGGAAATATGGTGAAACAATATTTGCTTGGTGATGAAATTATGGTAGAACCATTAAATTTTGAGCACCATAAACTGGGGTTGAAAAACTTAGTTGATTACTACCCGCTACTGACCCAACTTCACTACTTCTAGGTTCAACAACATACAATGTAACATCATCACTTGAAACACTAATGTAAGCAATGAATCGTTCAACATCTTCATTGTCGGTTAACAAATAAACTTTACCATTTCTCTGATAAGATAGCCTAAATCCACTTAGGGGCTCTAAATTCAATTTATTTGCAACACGTAATATTAGAGTTTCATAAGTTAACTTTTTTAATGACAGTTTTAGTTGAAGATTCATGGGTAAAGGCATATATTTTAAAACACCATGAACATTCTCCCATGACCCTCCAAAACACAAATCTATCCAAACATGATCAACATTAGATGATTTCATTATTGTAAATTAATTTACTAAACAAACGAGCTACGAAACTAAAACCTATTGTCGGATGGGGAAGGATGTTGTTGGATATAGGAACGGATGTCGCAGGAGAGAGTAATAGACGGAGATGGAATGAGTTGCGATTTAGGGATTTAGGTTATGAGTTGCTGCTGCTGCGTAGTTATATACCCAAAACATTTGTGTTGCAAAACTAAAACATGTTGCGAATTCAAAAATCGAGTTGCGAATTTGAAATTCAGTAATGCGATAGTCAGAATCGCGTTGCGATAGTCATAATCGCGTTGCGATAGTCAGATTCGCGTTGCGATTTACATATTCGCATTGTGATTTACGTATTCGCATTGCGATTTACGTATTCGCATTGCGATTTAGGAAAATCACAACGCGAATTTGAAAAATCGCAATGCGATAGTCAGAATCGCGTTGCGAATCTGGAAACTGATTTGCGATACCGGAGATCGCGTTGCGAATTATCGATCGTATTGCGATTTAGTTGGTCATTTTGACAAATCTAAAAAATGTTAATTAAAATCATATATTATAAGACATTTTTGGTCACTGAGATTATTTTCTCTAATTAATAATATATAAACGTTAAAGTTAAGATAAAATAAAGCATCAAAAAAGACAAAACATAAAATAAGAAAAGCAGACCCATTGAAAACACATCAAAATATAAAAGTTTGAACGATACGGTGTTTTGTGCGTTAGGTCCACAAAGCCATTAGTGCGATGTCATTGAGAAGAGAAAATTATTACAAATTTCTTCGATAAAAGATAGTTGAGTCAGGGACACGTGATTGGGCATCCCATTGTTTCTCCAGTGTCTTCCATGTCTTTTTCTAGTGTACCAACAAACATTTGATGATGAATTGGACACCTACTCCTTGAAGAACCAACAAACGAATTACACGTACCATTCTTACCTGTATATTCTTTCTCATCACAACCCACAAACATCATAGCATAAGAATCATGTGGAAGGAACGAAACCACAGTGATCTGCTACACTAGATAGGCTCAAAACTTGGAACTGTTTCAAGTCCGATGGAGCTGCTTAGAGTCTTCAACTCTTTCGCCATTTGTTTTCTGTGTTTGATATTGACTTCATTTGGCTTCTGCTTCTGCAATGGAGGAATAACTGGTAACTTTGTTAGAAAAGAGTATTCTCCTGATATGCCACTTGACAGTGATGTTTTCCGAGTTCCTCCTGGTTATAATGCACCTCAACAGGCATGTTTCACTTCTTCCAAATCTCATCATCTTTCTTTCAGTTTTTTTTTCTCAACATTAGATGTTTGATTTTCCTATAGGTTCATATAACACAAGGGGATATTGATGGGAGGGGAGTGATAATATCCTGGATAACTCCTGATGAACCTGGCTCCAACACAGTTATTTACTGGTCGGAAAATAGCAGTCATAAGAATCAAGCCGAGGGAATATTTGTGAGATATAACTTCTTCAATTACACCTCAGGTTGCATTCATCACTGCACCATCCACAAGTTGGAGGTATTTGACTGTTTCTTCCCTCTTTTTTTGTTTAGTTTCACAAACTGACAATTTTGAGTAGAAAAATCTTGGGTTTTTTTTTTCTTTTTCCGATTACAGTATGACACCAAATACATATACGAGATTGGAATAGGGAATTCGACTAGACAATTCTGGTTTGAGACTCCTCCAAAATCTGGGCCTGATGTTCCTTATACTTTTGGTCTAATAGGTACTCGACTATTTGTTTGTTCCCTCTGATTTGTCTGATCATTTATCACTTCAAAAAGATAAACTCCATGTAATTGTTGGTTTTTGTCTTGTTCCTAATTTTCAATTAGAATGCTTATATTTCGTTGCGTTTATCAATGTTTCAATCATATTTTTTTTTTTGCATGGATTGGTGAACAGGGGATCTTGGTCAAACACATGATTCAAATGTTACACTCACGCATTATGGATCAAATCCAAAGAAGGGGAAAACAGTCTTGTATTTGGGGGATCTCTCGTACTCCAATGACTATCCGTTCCATGATAATTCTAGGTGGGATACGTGGGGAAGATTCGTAGAGCGGAATGCTGCTTATCAGCCTTGGATCTGGACGGCAGGGAACCACGAGATCGATTTTGCTCCGGAACTCGTATGCCATTCAACGCTTAAACACTATCATGTCGACATAGAAGGTCCTAGATCCTAATGGTCTAACAACTGTGGGTTAATGCAGGAAGAAACTACACCCTTTAAGCCGTATAAGCATCGATATCATGTACCGTACAAATCGTCATATAGTACTTCTCCGTTATGGTATTCGATCAAGAGAGCTTCGGCTTATATCATTGTTCTATCTTCTTATTCTGCAAATGGTAATTGTTCTACAATTGTGTCTAGAGATGGTGTTTATCCTACTGATTTCCAACTTCAATTTTGACAGGAAAATCTACTCCTCAATATAAATGGTTGAGGGATGAGCTACCAAAGGTGGACAGAAGTGAGACTCCATGGCTGATTGTTTTAATGCATTGCCCAATCTATAATAGTAATTCACATCATTTCATGGAAGGAGAAACCATGAGAGTGGTGTACGAGTCATGGTTTGTCAAGTACAAAGTAGATGTTGTATTCTCTGGTCATGTTCATGCCTACGAGCGATCCGTAAGTACAATCTAATTCAATGTTTCTTTTATTACCAAAGATATTAACCTATAAATCACAATGTTTCACATTGCAGAATCGTGTGTCCAACATTGCATACAATATTTTGAATGGACAGTGTACTCCTGTTAATGATCAGTCGGCACCAGTTTACATAACAATTGGTGATGGTGGAAATCATGATGGACCAGCTCTAGGGTAATGCTTATCACTGTACTTTCTGTATACAATATAACTAGGAACTTAGTCAAATCGACCACCAAAAGACATCAGTAGATTCTTCTTCTTTAACATGATATACCTTCATCTAAATTTTCTATTTTATTGATTACATATCATGATACTTTTAACTAATAATTGCCACTCCTTGGTTTAAACAGAATGGTGGAACCACAGCCAAGCTTCTCAGCCTATAGGGAGACAAGTTTCGGTCATGGTATTTTCGATATAAAAAACCGGACACATGCTTATTTCAGTTGGCATCGTAATCAAGATGGATATGCTATCGAAGCTGATTCTTTCTGGTTTCATAACAGGTATTGGAATCCCTATGGGAAATCTTTTGTAGCTTCATATTAGTCAATTATTCATCTAATTAAACTATTTCAGGAATACTATGTAGCTTATGTTCATAGTATTTTCCAGCTATATAATAGTTAATTGGAACATGCATGGTCTTGGTTTAAGCATTGTCTAAGAGTTATTTGCTGTATCAGCCTTTCCATTGCTGTCAGCTTGGATGGTTTGCATGAGTTGACATTATTCATGAGCATACATTAAACAATTGTAATAATACATGTAAGCATGAGAATAATCTGATATAGCAACAATAAAGAGAAGACAATAAGACATTCTAGAAGGTAATCTGTTGCAAGAAAAGGCAATAATAATCGAACCAACCAGCTATTCTTGGTTTAAATTCTCTGCAGACTATAACATGCTGTTGGTACTCTGAGCTAAGAAGGTGAAACATTGGGAGATTTCTCAGGTTCCTCATATGCAAGCAAAGCCTTAAAATCCTATGGTCACACCATCCAACAGATAAGATCAGATGCATATAGATTTGCTAAGTTAGAAACATACTTTCGGCATATTTTTGCTCCTTACCGAAAAGGGTACATTTCATTTGTGCAAATTCCAGAGCTTCTGTGCTGCAAGTCACGATATCATACTTGAAGTTAGTATGACATTCCTCGATGAATGTCAAGCCGCTATTTCGGAGATTAGGTAAAAGGAAGTGTATCAAAATGTAGTGTGATTCACCTGGTCTTGTACCACGGGAGTCGCATATCTGATATCTCTGGTAATATTTGTCTGCTCTCAAGACTCCCAAGAGTTGTGATTCATGAACTTTCCCTAGACCTAGACCAAAATATATATATATATATGTCTTCGTCATAGGTCTACCATCAGAACATCTTGAAGATTGGTTCGTTGGCGACATGGACGGCAAAGGAACCATTACTAAAAGCAGCAGCCAAAAGTTCTATTTATGGTCTGTTTGATTTATTGAAACCAAGTTTCGGAAAATGAATTTTAGAAAATGAACTATATATTTTGAAAAAAAGTTTACAAAAATTAGTTTCTGGTATTTGAATAATGTTGTGTAAAACGATTTCGGTTGTTTGATAAATTTTCCTGAAAACATTTTTTGAAATCTATTTTTAATGGAACAAACACATTACAATTTATTTTTTGATTTTTTATCTTTTGTTTTCTTATTAAGTTAATTTTATTAGTATAAAATTATATTATGCAAAGTTTTGATTATATATTACAATTTTTTATTTTTACAAGTGTGTAGTTTCTAAAATAAGATTACAAATAGAATAACAAGTTAATGAAGATAGATTTGTTTTTCTCCACAATATGCAAGCACAATTGATTGATATACTTGGCACCATGAACACAAGACCATAATACTCTTCCTAAAAGTTACATCGCTAGCAACAAAACAGTCATGTTCTACCGCAGCCAAGCAATAACCCCTTGCAGCTTCAGTCACTTCGAACTCTTCTCCTATTCCACTCAACCATCCATTGTTTCTTTCGTAAAATCCACACATACTTGCATTAGTAGCATAACAATATCACACCTGAGCCAATAATAAAACCAAACATATCCTTAATAGCTCCTATCAGTCAATCTTAATTACTCTTTACTGCTAACTTACGAAAGGATAGTAGACTCCACAAATATTTAAAACATGCAGTTTGCAAACAATTGAAGCCATGCACATTTAGCATACCAATCTAAGCAGTGGAGTTTATCATCCTTACCTAAGCCAACCCTCCTTATATGGCATCCATCCAAAAATAGGTGAATCACCATACTCTCAAGTCACAACCTCTTCATATCTTTGAAAAGGTATGAAAGATTACAAAACAACTCCTTGGTCATAATCACCATCGAAACAAAAACAACTAAATTTTACCAACCTTGCAAATTAAGCCACGTCTTGTTCCTTGCCTTCAACACTACGCTTCTTTGCAAAATCCCAAGCTTCTTGTATGTTTTTCATAACAAGTTTCTTCCGATTGTTGAAATCCAAGTCTGATTAAGAACTGGTACACACACTCAATGCCTTCATCTCTCGAGCCTTGCTTCATGAACATTTTTCAGAATATACGGTCCCTAGATTGAGCACTAGCCAAGTCAAACATTCCTTAAACAAGAGAATACATTTACAAGCTGTTTTGAGCATCATTGTAAACCATTTTAGTGAAGTTTACTTACATATCAGTCTGTACCGAAGACATATAATCATCAGATTCACAACATTAAATGGCGATTAAATTGGATAATAATCAAGGTAGTGAACCACATAAAACACATGAATGATGAGGCATTTGAATTCAAGCAATCAAATTCAAAGCAACAAAAAATTGAAAGCGCACTATCCAAATGCCTTTGGTCTCAATTTGACTCATCTCTAATAAACCCAAATGCTTCAGAATTTGAAAGGGCACTATCCAAGTATCTGACAATAGTAAGCGATCTAGACGCCAATACATAATCCTCATTCCAACCAATAATTTATTCAGCAATCATCAATAGATTAATTAACTCTTGATCTTCAAAAAAGCTGTGAAGATTCATTCTCTAGTTAACTACAATGCCTACTTTCAACATTTGATCTTATCAAATTTAAAATTCCAGCTTACAAATGATATGATCATCAAAAGAACAAGGATCGTCCACCATCGTCAAATAACAATGTAAAATATTCCACCATCTATTGGCTCGTAACCTAGACACCATTTACTACTTTTGTGTTAAAAAAAGTGCAAATTTCCACTGCAATATCAACATGCAATACATGGCATATATGTGCATGTGTATACAGATCATGCTAAAGAAATGCAAAGCATGTCCCACAACTACATAGAAAAAGGAAATGAATAAGATTATCAGTGAGTTCGGTGGTTTTTGAAAAATGTATAATAAAATATAATTATAATAATAGAACAATCCAAGTTTTCTTTACTTAAATTCATGCATTGTAGACATAAATTGGATCTTCAATCCTCATCTACAAGTTTATTGAAATTCCTAGTTAACTCTTAAACATTATATGGTTCTTTAACAAAGAACAAAAATTACTTCAATACTAATAAATAAAACCATGAATCTGAGGAAAAGGTGAAAAACGAATTTGAAGGAGAAATAATAAAATTACTTGAAGAGGGAGTAGAAGTAGAAGAGCATGAAGAAGTTGGATATGGCGTACGAAGGATTCAATACTCCATTGTTCATAGATGTCAATATTTTCTGATTGTGACCGGAGAGTACCATCATTATTTCTTTTTCTTTAAACAAAAATTTAAGAAAAAATATCCAGAAATAAAAGAACAGAGAAGAGACATTCAAAGTTGCCTGAGTTGTTGCCCTAAAAAGGAAGAGACAATGGCGTTGTTGTGATGCGGTGGTGGTTTGGACAATAACTTTTGAAGAATTTGCTTTGAGTGAAAAATGCTTTGAAGAAGAATGGAAAATGACTTACAAGATTTTATTTGGCAAGTCATTTTACACAAAAACACGGATTTTCCCTTGGATTTTCCTTTGACTGTAAATCAATTTACATTGACCGAAATCTTTTACATCAAAAAAACACTTTCCGTAAAATGTTTTACGGCAAACAAACAGAGCCTTAAAAGCAATATTATAACTACCACCAAATAAGTATGATGAAAAGCATCAAGCTTTTCTAAAACAATTAAAAATATCACTTCTTTATAATATGATCCTAGCTTATAATAAGAATAATGCCTTATTTGTAAGATCCACCCACATCTAGATTAAAAAAAACCAAAAATATCAGTTTTAACGTTACTGTTACAAGGGGAAAATAAAAAAGAGAACAGTCGAAGACAATCACCTCATGAATGTTTCTGGCGTAGTACTTGGAGCCAAAGATGAAGAACCCGGAATTCTCCTTGCCATTGATGAAAACAGACTTCTTCTTACCATGGTAATGCTGCAATGGATCAGTTAGAATACACTAACCATTCTGTGAAGAAGAAAACCATCAACTAGGAAACTGAGCCAGTTTCCTTTTTCCCTCTTATAATAACAGATAACTTGAAGGAAATTTTGGGAAAAAATGTACATTTGAATTGGTGAAACGAGAGAAATGATTGAATAGCAAAGCCCTTGCCTAAATTCTACTCGGAAAACTAGCAAGTACACAAGTCAAGGAAACCAAAGTACATCAAGGCTCAAGCATCAATCCAAGCTTAACAATACAATCAAATATGCAGTGACATCAAGACTAAAACATATCCAGAAGGCTAGGTTATGTGCAATTTAACCGTGTCAACATCAATAATTCATTCAAATATTCTAAAGACTAATAGTAAAATAACCAAGTAAAATACGGGAAAATGATTAAATAGGAAAAAGTACTTTGCCAAAATTCTACTCCAAAAACTAGCTAGTACCCACTTCAATTTTTGCAGTAACATTAAGAATAAAGCATCTCCAAAAGCTAGCTTATATGCAAATTAACCATCTAAACATAAAAAATTCATTAAATATTCTAATGCCTATTAGTAAATAGCAAGCAGTGTTATATCGATATTTTACAGCTCCATGCATAACAAATGAAATTACCCACGAAAACATCTAAGTAATTCACTAAATTGTTAACAAAATTTTCCTAAAATTAGTTAAATCCATCGTCATGCAGAGGGAAACACGTCCTTCACAGCTGATGCAGCGGACAAGTAGTTAAGAGTGTTCCTTAAAGTTTCCTTCTCTCTTTTTAATCTGGCCGCCGTTTCTTCCAACTCCAGTAATGCCTGCTGCTCTCTCGGCGCCCCTTCGAACGTACTCCCTACGAAAAACGAAAATGGCGTCGGGAAAAGGTTCCTCCTCAAATCATGCGCTTCTTTTTCTGATTTCTCGTTAAGCCGGTTCGATAATCGAATCACGTCTTTCATACAACTCTCCACTTCATTCGCTAATCCATCCAAATCTTCGTCACCCGAGGGTCGGTCTTCGAGCCAGTTTACTTCCGCGACGAGGTACGGTTTCGTACGAACCATGCTGGTTACACGGAACCGTTCCTGGCCTTTACATATGAGGAAGAAGCGGTCGTCGACCAGACGTTCGTGTTTGATGATCTCGCCTACGCAACCAACACTGGCAGTTCCGGATTCGTGGTCGGAATAGATAACGCCGAAGCGGAGATCGGTGTGGAGGAGCGTGTGCATCATAATGCGGTAACGGAATTCGAAGATCTGGAGAGGGAGAACGGAGCCGGGGAAGAGAACTAAGGGGAGAGGGAATAGGGGAAGCTCAACTACGTCGTCTGATTTAGCAGGATCGGCTAGGTGTTTCTCTGGGAAAGAGGATGCCGAGCACCGGAGAGAACTGAGCCTTTGCAGCCGGCGCGATTGAGGGAATGAATATGGCTTGCAAAAGGGGTTCGAATTGGGGTTCAAAAGAGAGGTATTGTCTGCGTTGGGGTTTATCGAAGGTTGGTGAGTGAGGGAAGAAGGGGAAGGAATGAACTGAAGGAGAGCCATTGACGAAAGACCAGAAACCGTTTGATGTTTTGCCCAAATGAAAAACCAAACAAATAATCGAGAGAACTACTTCGTGGGCCTTGGCTTATTTAAGTGTCTTTTTGTTTCGTGTATTTTGTCTAACAGACAATGGTGGCGCTAGTGCCTGCCTCGTATTTGATTTCGGTTCCACCCGCCTCGTGTTTAGAGTCACTATTTTAACGCAGTCCGAACAAGGGGATTTAAATTAGAGAAAATCGCCTAAGTGATCAAAATTTCCATATAATATACGATTTTAATTAATTTTTTTTGGATTTGTCAAAATGACCAACAAAATCGCAATGCGATCGCTAATTCGCAACGCGATCTCCATTATCGCAAATTCGCGTTGCATTTCGCGTTGCGATAGTTGAAAATCGCGTTGCGATGGTCTACAGTGTCGTTGCGATTTTCCCAATTCGCAATGCGA